ATGTTAAATGCAAGCTAGTGTGTGTGATAGCCATACGAGTTTTCACTTTACCTGGTGCCAGACACACAAACATTAGATTATACTTTAAAATCAAAACGACATTTTATTTTATTTTTTGAGATGGAGTACTCAGTCGCCCAGGATGGAGTGCAGTGCCGTGATCTCTGCTCACAGCAACCTCCGCCTCCCAGGCTCAAGCCATTCTCCTGCCTCAGCCTCCCAAGTAGCTGGGACTACAGGCACCTTCCACCACACCCAGCTAATTTTTGTATTTTTAGTAGACAAGGGGTTTTGCCATTTTGGCCAGGCTGGTCTTGAACTCCTGACCTCAGGTGACCCACCTGCCTCGGCCTCCCAAAGTGCTGGGATTATAGGTGTGAGCCACTGTGCCCAGCACAAAATGACATTTTCTAATCCATATGACGCCCAGGCCACAGGCATCCTCTTTGGGAGTGCTTCCCTACCCTCCACAGGTAGAATATCCTCTTTCAAGAGTGCACAGATGCATTACTCACTCATAACTTTGATGTGCACAACAAAGAGCAATCAAACCCAAACTAATTCATTCACAATGAGAGCTATCGAGACCTCCACCAATATCCTGTGGAGGATTGTTATGACTTTCATCAGCAGTTGTCTTTCTTCTGGTATCATCAAGCCTTTGACTTCACTAACTGTTTCAAAATGTTCAACATAAGCCTATTATCAAATTCCTCAATAAAACATTTTTATAAAGTAAGGCAGCAACAGTAACTTTGAACTGCTCTATGCGGGAATCTCTGTGGGCACAGGAAAAGAAACATTTTACAAACCCCAAAGTCACATATGGTGCTACTGCTGCTAGGATGTGCCGAGTACCACCAACCCAGCCTGTGCCCCCAAAGCACTCCTCCTCCCTCCCGCTGAAGCTCCAGAAAGCTTCAGTGGCAGCAGCACAGCAACCAAAAGGTGAGGGTGTCGAACAAGATACAGAACCAATAAAGCTTGGACCTTGCCCTGAATATCAACCAGCTCATCTGATTCCATCCAATACGACTGAATGCCCTGCTGGGCAGGCCCACCAAAGAAAGCAGAGACAGGGCCCAGGAGCGCCTCTGCAGAGAACCACAGCTGATTCTCATAAAGCTTGGTCCCTTCCTCCTGAATCACCATTAGAAACTCCTCATGTCCTACACACAAAATTTATCATTCACCCAGGTGCCCAGTCACTGCCACTTACCTAGTCCTGATCCTGAGCTTATTTCCAGGCTGAACAAGGGTGGCCCCAGGTATTCAGGAGTGAAAGAACAGGGACAGCCTTCTGCAGGGCAGAAAGGGGTGTTGCTGCCTGGCCTGGCTGGGCTCCCACCCTGGAGGGCTCCACCTGCTGGCACCTGTAGTAGTTATTTCCTAGGTTCCAAAGCCTCATGTTCTGCACCTACTTTTAAGCTTAAAATTTCCTCAGATTTTGTAAGCTTCCAGTTCATCTCATACATGTCAATGCATAACAAAATCTGTCTTTATGGGACACTTACACCCACATTTCTACCTTACATTTTGTTCTTTCAACACAGATATCCTGCAGTTACCAAACACCTAAGTTTATATGTCACTTGCAGACCTCTCCCACCTTCTGTCTACAGGAACAACAAAAAAAGCAAAGTTCCTTTACAAATGCCAACCCCACCCTGTCTGGGTCCAAGCACTCCTAGTGTGGAAACTCCCTGCCTCGAGTCCCACCACTGTCATGCTCTTGTCTGCTTACGGAGTCACTGTCTGTTACCAACATACTGCCCATTCACCCATGATGCACTGTGGAGCCCGTGTACCACCATCGAGGGTAGAAACAGGAGGCTAACAGCAACTGATGCCTATGGCTACTTCACCCACCTATGCTAGGAGAAGCATATATTCTTCAGGGTACTCATCACTAGCTGAAATTATATTTCCTATTCATCTGTTTATTGTCTATCTTCCCAGTGGGATGGAAACTGTATGAGCTTAAGAGTAGTACCTAGCACACAGAAAATGCTTAATAAATCTTTGTTGAATTAATAAATATTTTATGATAAAATTAAAATTTTTTTTTTAAATGTAATCACATGTATAACTGGCATGCTGTGGCATACTTGGCAAACAAACATCCATGGAGAAAGACCAGAAGGGAACAAAGAAAAATGAAAGTAGTTGCGATTGGAAATTTTTTTATTTACGCCATCCTATTTTAATGTTATGCTGTTGTTACAATAAAAAACAATAGCTTTTCTGTCCTAGATGAAAGATGAATAATGACCTATCAGTGCCAGAGGGTCACTACTCTACCCACTAGTTGTGAGCAAGAGAAAAGCAGCTCCTGATACCTGGGCGCTGGCCTGGTACTATCAACCAGTCCTTGGTCCTCTCCTTTCGAACATCAACACCAACATCAAACAAGGCCACTCTGTGACCATGATGGATGAAGGCAAAAACAAGACCACTCTGCAATATCTGAACACAGACAAAACATGAACACTGTCCAAGTCACAAAATACCAAACATCCTCCTCTCCCAGCTAACGAGTGACTATTGCTTCTTCTTCAATTTCAGCTTTGGCACCACTTTAATCTACTCTCCCTATAGATACAATTTATTAAAACACTAAATGACAGAATTACCCATTTCCTGACAGCATCTAATCCAGAGCAAAGTCCCCAAATCACTACACAAGCCCAAACCCTATACTGGCTCACCCCATGGTGCCCTTCGGTGTGCATTCTCCCTCACTGCAATAAGCAATAAGCTCAACTTGTTTGACTGTAGCTGTGTTCCTAGTTGTGTTTCGCTAGAGGGCACTCACAACTGTCAGGACACCGGTACCACTACAGGCCATGGTACACGCAGAAGTCATAGGAGCCTGGCTGGAAAACTGACCCCTGGATATAATCTCAGTGTTGGTTCTCTGAATACATTCCCTGACATCAGCTGATTTGCTGGTCATTTGCCTCTTTTTCCTAAAAGTTGGGTGAATGGGAAAAAAAAGTCTACTTAATTAAATGCCCCAGTGAATAATGTTACAATCAATCCAGTATGCTTCCCTACCATTGCTGAAAGTCACCCTGAGCGCAAGGTCAGAATGGTGCTGGAGGACTGAATCATGGGCAGGGCTTGAGGCAACACCACTCAAGTACTTTAAGCCACATGTTCAAGCCCAATAAATTAGGCCGGGTTTAAAGAAGTCAAGCTGTACACATGTAAGAATTTTAATAAGCTTGGAAAATGCTACCTAGAGCTTATGCACAAGCTTACTGTACCAATGGGATTCCCTGCCACCAGCCACAGCGTGCTAAGCTCCTGACAAGAGCTGTCGAGCACGTGGGCAGCAGGGACGGGGAGTCTGCTTGGTCCAGGTTTCCTTAGGAGTTGGAGACTCACAGCAGAGGCTGGCAGCCAGATGGATAGAGAACAGAATCGGGCATGCAGCTCAGTGGAGCCAACGGCATTTACTAGCAAAACATGCCGAAGGTTTCTTTGGTGTGAATCTGGTCCTCACACACCCTTCGAGAAACTAGCAAACACTGTAATCAATGTCTGCATTTATCAAATGCCTGTTTGTACCCAGAACTGTGTTAGGTACAATACAGAGTTATTTAAGCAAACATGGTCTCTGACTTCTAGATGCCGACACCCAATATAAATAAAAACAATAAATCTGTCCAAAGGATTACCAAGCTAACTGAACAAACAAAATAGTCAAAAGCGTTTACCTTATATAAATGCAGTGGTGTAGTAACTGAAGGTTAAGTCACGGGAGATGACTCTCTAAACAGGGTGGGTCCCTAATGGAACAGTTACCTTGTGAAAGCTGACTTTCCAAGAGGGAGGGCAGGTTTTAAGAAAAGGTTCAGGATCTGGCTGCTGGGCTGGAGGAAAATAAGCCAATCAGGGAAAAGGGTGCAGCCTGGGAGATGACTGAGAGATAGAAATTTAACTGCAGGAAGAAAGAAAAATTACCAACGGCCCAGAAAAAGTAGGGGAAAATAAGTCAAGCAGGTACATCTTCCTCAACCAGTTTTATTCATGCCCCTTTCGGATAAGTATAAAAAGTTTAGCCGGGTGCGGTGGCTCACGCCTATAATCCCAGCACTTTGGGAGGCTGAGGCGGGCGGATCACGAGATCAGCAGATCGAGACCATCCTGGCTAACACAGTAAAATCCTGTTTCTACTAAAAATACAATAAATTAGCCAGGTGTGGTGGTGGGCACCTATAGTCCCAGCTACTCAGGAGGCTGAGGCAGGAGAATGGCATGAACCCAGGAGGTGGAGCTTGCAGTGAGCCGAGATCGTGCCACTGCACTCCAGCCTGTACGACAGAGCGAGACTCCATCTCAAAAAAAAAGAAAAAAAAGAAAAAAAAAGCTTAGGCTGGGCACAGTGGCTCACACCTGTATTCCCAGCACATTGGGAGGCCAAGGCAGGAGGATCGCTTGAAGCCAGGAATTTGAGACCAGTCTGGGCAACACAGCCAGACCCTGTGTCTCCAAGCAATACAAAAATTAGCTGGGCATGGCACATGCCTGTAGTCCCAGCTACTTGGGAGGCTGAGGTGGGAGGATCACCTGAACCCAGGAGGTCGAGGCAGCAATAAGCCACAATCATACCACTGCACTCCAGCCTGGGCAACAGAGCAAGACCCTGTCTCAAAAAATAATAGTCAATAATAAAAAGCTGACGCTCTCTTTTAATGTTATTTGAAATTTCAAAAGAAACTACATATCCTAACCAACACCAAATCAAAGCAATAGTGGTTTCAGAATTTGTATTCCAAATAACACAAACCACCCTCTTCCCCCAGACCTAAACATCACCCAGGTGGGTGGTAGCAAGTGTCAACAAGGATGTCACTCTATCACTGAATTCTTAAAGAAGGGAAGAGTTGAATCCTGGATTTGCATGGGACCAGACAACTGGCAGAATCAGAAAGAGTTACAGCCTACGGTGACCAAAATAGACCACAGCCCTAGCAAGAATTTGTAACAATTACCTGATTAAAACTGTGGAAGGAGAATTCTTTGTAGATGGCATCTCTCTCACTTAATTCCGACCATCCTGCTGCTTTAAGGTCAAGTATAGCTTGGTTCCTCTCCTCTGCAGTCAACCTGTGAGTACCTGACGACTACGAAGAGAACACATTTCATATTTGAAAATGTAGACGTTTACTCAAACTCAAACTTATGGCTCCTTACCTTAAGCAGAGAAGTAGAAAAGTCTGACACGCAACAAACTCTAACCATCTTTCATTCTTTTGTTCTCACAAGAGAGACCAAAGCAAGGCTAGCTCTGTGCAAAATAAGCTGCCTCCATGGTATGGAACCTCTGGCCCACTTACTGCTGCCTCAACCTTCACAATTCAGCTTCTCTGGTTGGTTGGCTTGTTGGTTGGTCGGTTGGTTGGTTGTTTTGAGACAGGGTCTCGCTCTATCGCCCAGGCTGGAGCATAGTGGTGCAATCACGGCTCACTGCAACCTCCGCCTCCTGGACTCAAGTGATCCTCCCACTTCAACCTCCCCAGTAGCTGGGACTACAGGTGCACACCACCACACCCAAATAATTTTTTGTATTTTTGGTAGAGACGGATTTTCACCATGTTGCTCAGGCTGACCTTGAATTCCTGAGCTCAAGAGATCCGCCAGCCTGGACCTCCCAAAGTGCTGGAATTACAGGCATAAGTGACCGTGCCCAGCCCTTCTGTGGCTTATTACAGATACAACAAAGATCGACTATTACCACTGGCCATCTTGGACACTGCAGAATTCCAGGACTTGTGGCAAGTCTATTGGCAGGACCAGAATTAGAATTCAAGGCTCCAAACTCCTGGTCTATTGCTCTTCAGACGGCCCTACATCACCTCAGTAGTCTTCACTACTCTCTGTTGTATCTGTAATAAGCCAGAGAAGCTGAACTGTGATGCCTGAGGCAGCAGTAAGGGGGCCAGAGGGAACATACCATAGAGGCAGTTTATTTTGTACAGAGCTAGCCTTGTTTTGGTCTGTCTTTTGAGAACAAAGAAATGAAAGATAGTTTTAAGATTTGGAATTACCAGCCGGGCGCGGTGGCTCAAGCCTGTAAACCCAGCACTTTTGGAGGCTGAGACAGGCGGATCTCGAGGTCAGGAGATCGAGACCATCCTGGCTAACACGGTGAAACTCCGTCTCTACTAAAAAATACAAAAAACTAGCCGGGCGACGTGGTGGGCGCCTGTAGTCCCAGCTACTCGGGAGCCTGAGGCAGGAGAATGGCGTAAACCCGGGAGGCGGAGCTTGCAGTGAGCTGAGATCCAGCCACTGCACTCCAGCCTGGGCGGCAGAGCGAGACTCCGTCTCAAAAAAAAAAAAAAAAAAAAAGATTTGGAATTACCATCTCCTGTCACATCTAATGAAAACCAATCCCTGGATGGGGAAAAACAAATGCACAATTACATATGATTTTACTTAACTTCTGGGGGTCCACAGATCCTCTGGACTACAGGTAAAAAGCCCTGGCCTCAGTGGGGTGAGTTTATGAAGCTCTTTTCTCAGAGCACCAGTCAGACAAACTCTCTCCATAGTTTGGCAAGAGTACTGCTCAGTCCAAAGCACTTGTGTGCACTGTCTGGCCTGTTTCTACTCACCATGGGGATGACATTCACAAAGCCAGGTTCTGTTGCTTAACAGGCCCACACTTCCCATGCTATTGGATTTTTAACTAAATAACTTCAAACATCAGGGTCAGAGAGAAGAGATGGACACTGGACTAGAAGTCAGGAAAGCAGGGTTCTCACTCCAGGCAATACTTCCTGTCTTAACTACTTGCAGAGTTACTGTAGGCTCAGGTGAGAAAGATGCTGTCACCCAGAAAGATGAACATTAGTGAAGGCTCCTCATCAAAGGGCAACTGTGGGCTAAGCTGCATTCCCTGGATTCTCTGCCATTAAGCTGCAACTCACTCCCACTTCAGAAATCCTAAAATCTTTTATCACTAATATTAATTAAGAGATCAAAAAGATTTTACCTTTAGACAACTTATTCTATGAAGATGAAGAAAAAAATACTAATGAATCAGTTTTCTAGTTTTTCTTCTTTGCTAGGTCGGCTATTCTTCCCCACAACTAACAAAAGGGTGAGAGTACTTTTTTTTTTTTTTTTTGACACCAAGTCTTGTTCTGTCGCCCAGGCTGGAGTGCCGTGGTGTGATCTCAGCTCACTGCAACCTCTGCCTCCCAGGTTCAAGCGATTCTTCTGCCTCAGCCACCTGAGTAGCTGTGATTACAGGTGTATGCCACCACACCCAGCTAATTTTTTGTATTTTTAGTAGAGACAGGGTTTCACATGTTGGCTAGGCTGGTTTCAAACTCCTGACCTCAAGGGATCCGCCCACCTCAGCCTCCCAAAGTGCTGGGATTACAGGGGTGAGCCACGGTGCCCAGCAGAGAATACTTTTTAATTAAACAAAAATATGCAAAAGCTTGTTATTAAAAACCACTTACTAGATTAGTTGGGCATGGAGGCACATGCCTGTAATCCCAGCCATCCAGCCTGGGCAACAGAGTGAGATTCCATCTCAAAAAAAAAAAAAAAACATTTACTAGGGCCGGGCACAGTGGCTCACATCTGTAATCCTGGCACTTTGGGAGTGCCAGGATCCTGAGATGGGAGGATCATTTTAGGCCAGGAGTTGAAGACTAGCCTGGGCAACACAATGAGACCTCGTCTCTACAAAAAAAAATTTTTTTTAATTGCTAGGGTGGTGGACCATGTCCATAGTCCCAGCTACTTGGAAGGCTGAGGTGGGAGGATCACTTAAGACCAGGTGACTGAGGCTGCAGTGAACTATGATCACCACTGCATTCCAGCCGGGGCAACAGAGTAAGACCCTGTCTTTTAAAAAAAAGGAAAAAAAAAAAGAAAGAAAGAAAAGTAAGTAATAAACAAACACCATTTACTATTAAGAATCAAAAGATTCATTCATCAGTTTCTCAGTGACAGTTCTGAAAAACTTACATGTACATCTATCATAAGAAATCTAAAATTCTTGGCCAGGCGTGGTGGCTCATGCCTGTAATCCCAGCACTTTGGGAGGCCGAGGCGAGCAGATCACAAGGTCAGGAGTTCGAGGCCAGCCTGGCCAAGATGGTGAAACCCCATCTCTACTAAAAATACAAAAATTAGCCAGGCATGGTGGCGCGCACCTATAGCTCCAGCTACTCGGGAGGCTGAGGCATGAGAATCACTTGAACCCAGGAGGCGGAGGTTGCAGTGCGCCAAGATTGCACCACTGCACTCCAGTCTGGGCGACAGAGCGAGACTCCGTCTCAAAAAAAAAGATAGAAATCTAAAATTCTTATTAAACACTTATTTTGTCAACTCGGAGTATTTTGGAAAAGAAACAGAATTACGTGTGTCCACATTGAGCAGCTGCAAAGAAAACCATTAAACATGCAGTGGGGGCAGGCACCTGGAGTCTGTGGAACACACTCTGAGCTGTTTTCTCTGAGTGCTGGACCATCCACATCCCCACTAAGCTCAATGGTATGCACTTTAGGCCCACAACAGACACCTGCCCAGCAGCAGGGACCACGCCCAGGACTGGGAAATGGAGCCACTTCATCTACATAACATCAAAGGCCCCCAAGAGGGCACATTCGCAACGGTACCCTTTGTGGTGGGCTTAATTTTTCAGGGGGTGGGGAGTAGGCTAGGATTTGAAGAGAGTAAACTAGATCTAAGGCCTTTGTTACTTTTAGCTATGGGATGCTAAACTTCGCTTTTCTGAATTCCGGGATCCTTCTGTCTGTAGTGGGAATTTTATAATATCTACCTGCCAAGATTTTTTGAAAGGCTTAGATTACAGATCTTGAATGTGAGGGTACCTAGCATTGAGCCTGGCACGTGGCAGCGCTCAGACCATGTCTGTTGATTCATTCCTTCCCAGAACACCCTAATCTTACTAGATCACTAGCACCTGGGACAGAGTATGCCTGAAGACACGCCTAGGTGACAGTAGGCACTCAACTTGTGTTCTCCCCTTCGGGGCCAAGAAGAGGCGAAGTGCTTGTCTTCCTTCGTCTTCGAGCTATTTTAAATTTCTTCTATTAAAGAATTTCAGGCCAGACGCAGTGGCTCGCGCCTGTAATCCCAGCACTTTGGGAGGCCGAGGCAGGTGGATCACCTTAGGTCAGGAGTTCCAGACCAGCCTGGCCAACATGGTGAAAACCCCTCTCTACTAAAAATATAAAAAATTACCTGGGCATAGTGGCACGCGCCTGTAATCTCAGCTACTCGGGAGGCTGAGGGGGGAGAATCGCTTGAACCCAGGAGACGGAGGTTGCAGTGAGCCGAAATCGCACCACTGCACTCCAGGCTTGGCGATACAGCGAGACTCCGTCTCGAAAAAAACAAAACAAAACAAAACATTTCAAACTGAAATGGGCGGTTAAAATGCAACTTAAAATGAGATGGTGAGTTTAACGCATCACTTTTCCACTAGGTGGTGCTGCATGTTAAAACTTTATTAATTTCTACAGCAGGAAAACTGACGGCCCCTTGGAAGAGGAAAGAAAAGCCAATATGTCACCAAAAAAAACAATTTATTAATAACTCCTCCAAAATCTCTGTGGGCTCCCCTTGGAGTGAAGTGCGAACAGGGAGTCGCCATAGGGAGCCGGGCCCGCAGCGCCGTTCGTCCTCAGCACAGCGAGCGGCGGCGGCGGGCACCGAATTGTTCTGCAACTATTTTTCACATCTGCCTTTTGTAGTTGAACAAAATTCGTTCCCATTTGTTTCCGGTTGGCAAGTTCGTAGGCTTCGGCGGAGGTGTAAAGCCAAGGGGCAAGTGGCGGAGGCTGCGG